GTATTGCATTAGTGCATAGCTCTAAACTGTATCTAGAGTGTTGGTTGACTGTCTTGACATTGTGGTCAGAAAAAACAATTCCTCTAGGCTTGGAATTCAAGGACACTCTACTGCCTCTGGCCCCAAAATGTATAAACAAAAGTGATTTGGGGGGTGGGTGGGAAAACTGGGGGTGTATGACTTCATTACCTGAAACTGTAATTGGAGGATTAAGCCATGATATGTAAATGGGCCAAACTTATATCTGTCTGAAAAACTCAGGACTATTGTCCATTTTGGCTGTAGGCCCTCACACAGGCTTTGGCTGCCCAAGGTGTACTTTTTGAAGGCCTTTAATAAATACCTGATTTTATTCTCTGAACCTTGTCCAGCCTCTCTTCTAGGTACCCATTCCAAGGCACCAGGCAGACAGTGGCTGGAGGGAGCTCGAGAGGTCTGGGTGTCCCCAATCCCAAATGTCCCCACTGGATGGCTGCAGAGCCCAACAGGCCACACTTGAGCCAGGGAACAGCCTCGGACTGGGAAACCAGCGGGATGGGATGGGATGGGATGGGATGGGATGGGATGGGATGGGATGGGAACTGGGGTAGAGATGGGGATGAGGAGTGATGCCAAAATAAGAGCAAAGTTCCTAACACCAAGTAATGGTGTTTACCAAGTGAAGTATTAGGCAGCAGGACACGCAGCAGGATCTCTCCTAATTTCTGTGTGTGCCTCATGAGACTTTACAACATCATTTTTTTCCATTATAATCTAGGGATAAACTTACATAAACATTAAAAATTTTTCTTACCTAGTACATAAACACCATTTTCCTCGAACAAATTTCCGTGCATTCACTACATTACTGGGAGTCCTTTCATGGTCCTGGAGGTTCATTGAGAGGGGTCCGGGGTTTTATTCACTGAGTGCTGTGATATTACAGGTGACCTTGCCTAGAACTTTTCTTTTGGCCATGTGCTCTTGCTTCTTGTTACAGAACTCACCCCAGAAATATTGTATGCCTCCTTATCACTTTCCCCACTGGCTCCAGTCACATTTATCATCCTGGGTCCACATCTTTACAACCTTTTATATTTTTGCCCAGTTAGTCTTTCAGCAACTTAAAAGGGGAGATGAAAATGTTTATTCTCTCTTATTTATCAATCCCCTGCCAACCAGTCCAACACTCCCACCTCCATTTCCCACTCCACAATTGCTACCACCCTCCTTCCCCTACACATCTCATTTCCCTCCACTGAATCCTTCCCACTGCAGGGAGCTGCTGAGGAGCCTCATGCTCCTACCCTGGATTCTCCAGCCACTGACTCCCCATCCACTCTGACCACAGCCAGGGGCTACATACACTGCCTGCCCAGAGTCCAACCACGGGCAGATATGGAATCTCACATCCCCTCACCAGACCAATCCTTGCAAGTGCAAACACTTCATGATCCGTGAGCTAAAGGGGCTTCTGGAGAGTTGGAGAGGAACTTTGCACAAGGGCATGGAGTGACAGGACAAGGGGGAATGGCTTCCCACTGAGAGAGGGTGAGTTCAGATTGGATATTAGGAAGAAATCCTTCCCTGTGAGGGTGCTGAGGACCTGTCACAGGTTGCCCACAGATGCTGCCCCATCTCTGCAAGTGACAAGGTTGGATGGGGTTTGGAGCAGCCTGGCATAGTGGAAGGTGTCCCTGCTGGCAAAGGCACAGTATGGGATCAGGGAAAAACAAGCACAAGAGTTCCCAGGACTGAGGAGGAGCAGGAGCTCTGGTGAAGGGCTGGAAGGGGGTTCACAGCACTCTGGTCTCTAACAGCTTTCATTGCATCATCAAGGGGATTGGCAGTAATTAGGGTGGGCTCTAAGTGCTGATAACCTGGCTGCAAGCAGCTGATTGCTGTCCTTGCCTTGGGCTGTGTGAGCCTGCATTGCAATGATAGAAACGGGAGTCCATGGGCCAGGGGTGCACCCATGAGCCCAGGGGAGGTTTTGGCAATGATTCTGGAGCTCTTCCCAGAATGGGAGTTGTTTCTGACAAGCACTCAGATGCTCCAACAGTTCTGCCAGCACCAGCAGCATCCCTCTGCTGCTGTAAACCCTTAGGGAAGAGAAACGAGGTATGATAGAAACCAGTCAGGAGAGGGAAGGCAGTTGGAGAATGGGACATTCTGCAGGGAAGGAGTATTTGTCATCAGGAGGAAATTAGGTGCCATTTGCAAAATATTTCATTTGCAGCTCTTGACAAAACTTTCTTCCTCTGTAGCAAGAAAAAAACGAAAAAACCAAACCAAGATGAAAACCTCTGAGGAAGTGAATCTGAGGTAGCCAAAGGTGCGATTTCCAGCTCCCCTGTGACTCCACTGAGTTTAAGGGAGCAAACAGGGCACAGCGACAGCCAGCAGGACTTCTGGGAGCT